TTTTCTGCATTCTGTCGAAGAATTATTCGAATACTTTTCGGGCAGTATTCGAATACTTCTTGGAAAAAGCCAGTAATCGAATACTTCGCGAGACAGCAGCGACCTAGTTTAGTAAAATTGTGATATCTCGAGCTTCAGAGCTCTAAATTGAGTGAGGTTTGGACCTATGTGAAGCTAACACATAGGGATACAACCCTTTAAATTTTCAGACCCATTGGATAAGTGTATTTCACTCAGTGTATGTTTGAAGTCGAGACCCTATTGCTGGAAATTCAGCTTGTTATAGGAACTTTGCAAAAATCATAACCGGAGTTATACAACTCCGATTGAGACATAAAATATGTAGTTGAAAATCTTAAGATGTCTAGTTTAACATATTAAAATCTTAGAGTATTGGGATACTTTTCTGGGAAGAAAAGTATTCGGATACCTTGAAGAAGTAGTTGAATACTGGGTAGTATTCGAATACTTGTGTATGTGGTATTCAGATACCTTGTGGTATTCGGATACTGGGGGAAAAGTATTCGGATACCCTGTGGTATACGAATACTTTAGTGAGCCAGAAGCGAGCCAGAAGGCCACGGAGGATGCTCTTGAGGCAAATCGGCTGGCGAACATGACCTTGATATGGGTTATGTTGGAGGAGATGAGGGCTAGCCCTGCTGTTGGTCAGTATCCTCCGCCACCACCTCCACCGCCACCACCGCCGTCGCCTCCACCTAGTGTTCAGGATGAGAGCCTGAGTCACATTGATAGTGCTACTGATAGCGACTCGGCAAGTGCACCGATCATAAAGTAATAAAGTGTACCGGAGTACGAGATCGTTCCCACGAGGATCAGAATTTCAAGCAATAGTTCGCTAATTGCGTTTTAGTTGGACAATGAAAGGTGTGTTTTGAGAGACTTTAGATGAAGAGAGTTGTGATTCAAGGAACTTAAAATTAAAAACAAGTAAAGGCATGCAATATGAAAATTCAGAATTAAAAGAATGAGTGAAGATGATGTTTGATTAAGATTTAAAACAAGCGTAGTTAAGGTTTCGACTTCCCCCAATATCCTCAATATGTTATGAATTAAATGACCAAGAATCTGTTTCTTAATATATTGCCAATCAATTCTATCTGAGTTAATTACGGCTCAATTCCTTGTTACCATAAATCTATGTAATCTTGAAAGAACTCTAGTTCCCCGATTATTCCCCAAGAAAACATGCATTAAGATCAAGAATTACAAGATTGCATACTTACCTTATGTCTATTCCTATTCCTAGATCACAAGGATTATGATAAATTATCAAGTCAAGGTTCATGCACCAACATCCCTATTGTCATACAATTCCCCAAAATCATTCTATAAGGAACAAACTCATAGAAAGCATTAAAAACAGATAATTTATTCAATTATAAAAAGAACAGGATTCGGAGACAATTTAATTCATAAACATAAAGATTCAATTGGGTTCCATCTACCCTTAACTAAATAAAAGACTACTCTAGCATACTGAATTGAAAAGAAATAATAAAGAAAAGAGAACCCCAAGCCCCCATTGGTGTGATGTTGACTTGGTTCCTCAGTGTTCCAGCGCTCCGCAACAAGATTCCTCCTTCAGTCTTGGTGTAATGCTCTGGAATTGTGAATTGGTGAATTAGTCTTGACCCCAAGCTCCTTATTTATAGCTTTTTGGGGTTGTATTCTTCATTAAATCTCCAATGAATCCATATCAGATTTGTGGTAGATTTGTGGTAGATTTCATCTTTGTTTCCTTTTTGCATGTAATATCTTGGAGATTTGGTTGATGAATTAGAGCTTCAAATCTTTGTTGTATCTTCCTCATATCTTCCCATTGTAGTTATATCTTATTTCAAATCAAGGTTGAGGTGTTTCCTTTTTATATCTTCATGGAATCTGCTGCATATCTTGATTAAATCTTTCTTGGAGTTGGCTTGACCGTGTATGGACATTTTGGCGCTCAAGAGCACGCCAAAACGTCCTCCTAGTGCATTGCTCTCTGCCTCAACACGTTTTGGCGTCCAGTAGCACGCCAAAACGTGCTCTTCGAAGAGTTTTGGATGTTTTCTGGGCATTTTGGCGTGCTTTTGAATGCCAAAACGTTCTCCTCCAGGGGCAATGGTGTTTTCCTTCCTTTTGTTCGTTTAAACGTGCTTCATGGATGCCAAAACATCCTCCTTCAGCTGGTACACACTTAAAATCTTGCTTTGATGTCTTCTTTTGGTTCCAAAATGCCATAATATGTGTCAAAAAACCCTTGTAAATCAGTATTACGACAACATGTTAGCAAGATATTCAATTACTATAACTTTACAGCATAAAACCCTAATTTCCATGCAATTCTTAACATATATCAATCATAATTTAGCCTAAAAACATGGCAAACCAAGGGTTTATCAGCCATTCCCAGATTTGAACATTGTTGTCCTCAACAATGCACTAGAATAAACTTAAGGGATTAGGAAGTAGGAATCTCAAAAACATGGAATTTGGCAGGAATTATTCAATTAGAGACATGATTACAGAGCATTCAGATTCTAAAAATTAACGCATCAATCAACAAAATTCATAATTCATCAGTAAAAATACGCAACAACTTTCTTAAGATAAAGAATAAGGAAAATTTCCCGAAACACTCCCTCACTAGGATTTTAATTCACTCACACTCAACTGTTTAGAGGGTTGGTGTTTCACTCGAATCCTTACTGAATCAACACTACCATAGGCTTGATTATATTCTCGCTCTCTATTGTGACATATCTCACAGATCAAGAGGTCTTTCTTAGGTTATAACTTGGCCTGGCTAAAGGAAGGAAAATTTAGAGAAGGAGCTGCAAGATTAAAATTCAAATTTTCTTGAAAAGGAACTTATGCATTTGTTTACATTTGTAAACAACTTTCTTTCTTCTTACTTCAGTCCTTTCTTTTTCTTTTTCTTTTGAACTTTTTTTTTCTTGTCTGTCGTTCTCTTTTCTCAGAACAATTTTGTTTTTCTTTTCACTTCTTTTTCTTTTTCAGAGTAACTTCCCTTTTCTTTGTTTCTTTCTTTCTCATTTTACTCAACCTTACTTCCTTGACTTTTGCCTTTTTCCCTGTACTTCCACAATTTATATCATTAACAACTAGCACATTTTTCTCAATTTAATCTGAAATTTCAATCTCAATTAAGGTGAGGAGAGTATGTGGAAAGTGGCTTAATCATCTTCATGGGTTTTCAAAGAATAAACAGGCCTAGGCTCAAAGGGTTTAAATTAAGGAATATCAGCAAAGGTTGGCTATTTGGCCATCTAGTTTAAAGAAAGAACATGCCTCAATCATATCTATAAAATATATCACATACCAATTCAAGCAAGAAACAAAGCAAGTTCTAGAGTCTTTCATACAGTGGGATGCACACTCAATAATTTTTTTTTATAGGCTCAAAACCTCGCTGCTATGAATGCACAGTAATTTCCCTATTCATCACTTAAGAGAATATTCAATGAATCATGAAAATCATTGCATTGATGTTCATTATGAAATTTTAAGTATGTTCATCATCATGCTCTGGATCAATTACTGATTAAAAATTCCCGTCATTTTTCCATTTAAAAACATTGAGTAATACTTTCAACTTTTCACAAAACAGTGGCTTGGTGTTTTCAAAACAAACTAAAAAAATTAAAAATTCTCAATAAAATAAAAATAAGCTAAAGCAAAGAAGAAAGGTTTTAAGATAATTCCCTATTTTAGCCGGATATTCTGTGTGTACTCATGAAGTTCCTCCGGCTTACTCAATTGTGCTTAGATGAACCGCGTGTTCCCCATTCCCAGATTTAAATGTTGCTGTCCTCAGCAACAGATTTAAATCTAAAAAGAATTCGCATCGAGAAATAAGAACAACTAATTGCTCTCTTATTGTTTGTTTCATTTTCTTCACCTGTAAAATTCACTCAATTGTAGGCATTAGTCTCAACACCTTCTCCTATATTTTTGTATTTTTCTCTTCATTTAATTCAAAGTAAAAATAAATAAAACAATGAAAATAAAACAGTAAAGTGTGGGTTTGCCTACCCATTAGCGCTTGTTTTACGTCACGAGCCTGACGTACCTGATTTACTTTCATGGTGGCTCAAAGCATAAGCTTGGTGATGACCAAGGTCCATCGTTCATAAATTGTGTTTTGCCATAGTGCTCGTCTGCATATGGATGAGGTAAAGTAGTCTCAGGAACTTTGAACTTGACTTTTACATGCTTTCCTTCGCTACTAGGTTTCTCCATATTAACTTTTGGCTTACTTTCTCGAGAAGACTCTTCATTGTGTTCTTCTTCACCTTTCTTTTCACCAATGTAGTAGACTTGATCTTCCGGTTGAGCTACAGATGAGGGGACTTCTTTGTCAAAGAACTTGAAAGTTACTTGCTCTCCGTCTACCCGTAATATCAGCTCGCCTTTTAGCACATCAATCAGTGCTCCTGAAGTTGCTAAGAAGGGTCTTCCAAAAATCATAGGAATTGTGGCATCTTCTTCAATGTCAAGGATGACAAAATCGACAGGAATGATGAATTTGTCTACCTTAACCAATATGTCCTCAATGATACCATAAGCTTGCTTTGAAGAGCGGTCAGCCAGTTGCACTATCGTCTTTGTGGGCTTCACTTCGGTTATCCCCAGCTTCTTCATCATGGAGAGTGGTATGACATTGATGCTAGCCCAAGATCACATAAAACATTGTCTACTTCCATCTTGCCTATAGTGCATGGAATGCTGAAGCTCCCTGGATCCTTGACTTTGGTAGGTAACTTCATTTCGCTGATAGCATTATATTCCTCCGTCAGATTTATTGTCTCACATTCCCGCAACTTATGTTTCCTTGATAATAGATCTTTCATTAACTTTACATAGTTGGGCATGTTCTCTAAAGCTTCGGAAAAAGGAATGTTAATCTGCAATTTCCTGAATATGTCTAGAAACTTTGAATATTGCTGCTTCTGAATCTCTTTATTTAATCTCTAAGGATAAGGGATTCGAGCATATGGAGAGAGATCTAATGGCTTGTTCTGTCTTTCTAAAGCTTTCTTCTTCTCCCACTTGAATAGTTTCTTTTCGGCTTTTTCAGGATTGCTTTTGTCAACTTCAATTGTATCCTTTGCCTTTTCTTCCTTCTCTTCTTCATCTGATGCTTCTCTATCCTTCTTATTTTTTTCGGGTTGTTCCTCTATAGGCTGAATTATTGTCCCACTCCTAGTGGTGATAGCATTGTAATGCTCCCTTAGATTGACAATTGTGTTACTGGGCAAAGCACCCTGAGTTCTTTTAGTGAACTGTCTTGATAGCTGACCAATTTGAGTCTCCAAGTTACGGATCAAAGCTTCTTGATTCCGGAATGAGGCTCTTGTCTCCTCTCTGAAGGAATTTGAATTCTGAATGTAGTCCGAGGTGGTCTTGGACAGCTGTGCAAATGCTTTTTCCCACTCTGATTGTGGAGGTTGCTGTTGTTGTTGCAATGGCACAGGAGGATTCAACTGGTAGTTTGACTTGTAACTCAACCCTGGATGTTGATTCTGATTCTTCTGATCATACCAGAGTCCATTGACCTCTGCTAGTGGATTTTCCGCTGCTCTTATGTATTCACAATCCTCAGTTGCATGAGCCTCCTGACAAATATCACATTTAATGTTAGCATTAGAAACAGAAGAAACTTGAGAAATATTAAATTTCTTATTAAGAACATCTAATTGTTCTTGTTGTTTCTTATGCATTTGTAGCATTTGTTCATTCTGGGTTAAGAGTGCATCATAGCCTTTAAGCTTCATGATTCCTGATCTTCTTGGTGCAACTGGGACTGGAGCCTTGTCAAATTCTTGAGATGCTAATGATTCCAACAGTTCAAGTGCTTCCTCAGGAGTTTTTGTTTTCAGGGAGCCTCCTCCAGCAGCATTCACCAGTGTTCTTGTGCTGGATGTCATCCCTTGGAAAAAGATTCTTGCTTTCTCCCATGCTTCAATTCCATGTTGAGGACACTTCCTGAGTAATCCTTTAAATCGTTCCCAAGCCTCGTACAAAGATTCGCTGTCTTTTTGTTCAAAAGCAGTGATCTCCGACTTGAGCCTTGCCATCTTTGAAGCTGAGAAAAATCTAGCCAAGAATTTTCTTGCTAAGTCATTCCAATTGGTTATGCTTCCTTCAGGTAGAGACTGCAGCCAATCTCTTGCTTCATCCTTCAGTGAGCATGGAAATAGCCTGAGCAAGATAGCATCACAAGGAACTCCATTTACTTTTAATGTATGCACAATAAAGTAAGAAGTTATCAAGATGACTATAAGGGTTCTCCGTGCTTCCTCCAGCGAACTGATCTTTTTGAATCAGTTGCAGCAGTGCCGGCTTCAGTTCAAAGTTGTTAGCCTCTATGCTTGGTCTAACAATCCTTGCCATCTGTGGAACTCAAGCTGGGGTCATGTAATCCCCCAACGTCCTTCGAACAATTTGATTGTTGTTTTCTGCCATTGGTTCTTCCTTAGGTTCCTCTTTTGGTATTTCCTTTGTTTCCGTAGAAGTTGATGCTGTTTTTGTTTCTTTTGCTTTATTTGCTTTTGCGTTTTTCCTAAGTTTCCTCTCTGTCTTTTCTATCTCAGGATCAAACTGCAAGATTCGCGGGTTAGAAGTACCTCGCATAAAATAAGAGTTGAAAAGATGTGCAGAAAAATAAGAAACACAAAACAGGAAATTAATGCAGAAAATTAAATATGCAGAAAAATATGCAGAATTTTTGGATGAAGAAAATGTTTTTATGATATGCTTAAAGTGCAGAAAAATAAAAGTCCAATCTAAAATTTAATTAGTTACTTCTAATGTTAAAGAATTCGATCCTCGGCAACGGCGCCAAAAACTTGATAGCGACTCGGAAGTGCACCGGTCGTAAAGTAATAAAGTGTACCGGAGTACGAGATCGTTCCCACGAGGATCAGGATTTCAAGCACTAGTTCACTAATTGCGTTTTAGTTGGACAATCAAAGGTTTGTTTTGAGAGACTTTAGATGAAGAGAGTTGTGATTCAAGGAACTTAAAATTAAAAACAAGTAAAGTCATGCAATCTTGAAAGAACTCTAGTTCCCCGATTATTCCCCAAGAAAACATGCATTAAGATCAAGAATTACAAGATTGCATACTTACCTTATGTCTATTCCTATTCCTATTCCTAGATCACAAGGATTATGATAAATTATCAAGTCAAGGTTCATGCACCAACATCCCTATTGTCATACAATTCCCCGAAATCATTCTATAAGGAACAAACTCATAGAAAGCATTAAAAACAGATAATTTATTCAATTATAAAAAGAACAGGATTCAGAGACAATTTAATTCATAAACATAAAGATTCAATTGGGTTCCATCTACCTTTAACTAAATAAAAGACTACTCTAGCATACTGAATTGAAAAGAAATAATAAAGAAAAGAGAACCCCAAGCCCCCATTGGTGTGATGTTGACTTGGTTCCTCAGTGTTCCAGCGCTCCGCAACAGGATTCCTCCTTCAGTCTTGGTGTAATGCTCTGGAATTGTGAATTGGTGAATTGGTCTTGACCCCAAGCTCCTTATTTATAGCTTTTTGGGGTTGTATTCTTCATTAAATCTCCAATGAATCCATATCAGATTTGTGGTAGATTTCATCTTTGTTTCCTTTTTGCATGTAATATCTTGGAGATTTGGTTGATGAATTAGAGCTTCAAATCTTTGTTGTATCTTCCTCATATCTTCCCATTGTAGTTATATCTTATTTCAAATCAAGGTTGAGGTGTTTCCTTTTTATATCTTCATGGAATCTGCTGCATATCTTGATTAAATCTTTCCTGGAGTTGGCTTGACCGTGTATGGACGTTTTGGCGCTCAAGAGCACGCCAAAACGTCCTCCTAGTGCATTGCTCTCTGCCTCAACACGTTTTGGCGTCCAGTAACACGCCAAAACATGCTCTTCAAAGAGTTTTGGATGTTTTCTGGGCGTTTTGGCGTGATTTTGAACGCCAAAACGTTCTCCTCCAGGGGCAATGGTGTTTTCCTTCCTTTTGTGTGTTTAAACGTGCTTCATTGACGCCAAAACATCCTCTTCAGCTGGTACACACTTGAAATCTTGCTTTGATGTCTTCTTTTTGTTCCAAAATGCCATAATATGTGTCAAAAAACCCTTGTAAATCAGTATTACGACAATATGTTAGCAAGATATTCAATTACTATAACTTTACAGCATAAAACCCTAATTTCCATGCAATTCTTAACATATATCAATCATAATTTAGCCTAAAAACATGGTAAACCAAGGGTTTATCAGCTACTCATGTCACTGGGGTGATGGAACCCTTTATGGAGCCTGCTGAGGACCGTGACGTGATTGACCGTAGGCTGAACGCTTTCAGAAAGCATAAGCCACCTGCTTTTGATGGGTCTTGCGACCCTATTGCTGCAGCAAGATAGCTGCAAGCGTTGGACAAGATCTTTCAGGTCATGCAGTGCACTGATCCGCAGAAGCTGATGTTTGCGACTTTTATGCTTGAGGGCGATGCCCATGAGTGGTGGATGAACACCTCTCACGCTTTCGAGATGCAGGGTCATGTCATGACATGGCCATTCTTTGAGGACTGCTTTCTGGGCAAATACTTTCCCTATGATGCGCAAGAGAGGAAGCAGGGGGAGTTTGATAGATTGGTGTAGGGCTCGTTGTCTGTTGACGAGTATTTGGCCAAGTTCATTGAGCTGGTGAAATTTGCACACTTTCGGATGGCAATGCCTACTCTGATGTTTTTGGCTGCTAAGTTCCGCAGGGGACTTAGTGAGGTGATTGCAGAGCATCTTGCTGGAGCTGCTTCGAGGGATTTTGGTACACTGGTTCAGCAGTGTAAGGACATTGAGGATGTTTGCATTACGAGCAAGGCCAAGAGGGCCAAGGTTGATGAGACCAAAGGAACGAGTGGTTCCACTTCCTGGAAGGGCAGGAGGTTTGCTAAGAAAGGCAAGGGAAAACAGTTTGCGACTAGGCAGGCGCCTGGTCAGTTCAAGAAGACTTCTCCGCAGCAGGGAAGCTTTGCGAGACCTCCTTCCACTCCTAAATGTTCGGGGTGTGGAAAGGAGCATGTGGGACGTTGTGCTTCGGGGCAGTTGGTATGCTTTCAGTGTGGCAAGGAGGGCCACTTTTCTAGAGACTGCCCGTCGTCGACGGCGAGAGCTGTAGCTGTTCAGGCAGTTCCATTGCAGATGGTTCCTTTGGCACCTACTTCGGCACCTGCAGTGCCACCTGCTACTGGGCGTGTCTACACTTTGGATAGGCAGCAGTCAGATAGAGCTCTGAACCTTGTCAGAGCAACTGTGTCTATTGGTGATTCATTTGTTGATGTATTGTTTGATTCTGGGGCTACGCATTCGTTTTTTGCAACCCCGATTGCTTTGGGGCTTGAGTTGCCCATGTATGCGCTTTCTCCACCGTTGCGAGTGACTACCGCCACCAGAGAAAAGTGTGATGCTACCACTGTACATCGAGATGTCATGTTTCAGTGGGAGGGCCGTGACTTCTTGGTAGATCTGATAGGGTTGCCGATGGCTAATTTGGAAATCATCCTTGGCGTGGATGGATTGTCCAATAGTTGATTGATTGATTGATTGTTGTGCCTAGCGAGTGGTGATGTCTCCGTGTGATTCCGCAGCTAGTTCCTCGCCGTACATTTCATTGCTGCAGGCTAGGAAGGCCTTGAGAGCAGGGGCATTCAGATATGTCATGTTGGGAGGTTTAGTGAGTGGGACATAAGAGGATATCACTGGCATTCCTGTGGTGAGGGAATTCCTCGGAGTATTTCCGGAGGAGATTCCTGAGTTTCCACCACAGAGGGAGATAGAGTTCTCTATTGACTTGTTGCCTGGTGTGGGGCCGATTTCGTTAGCTACATATCGGATGTCGCCACCAGAGTTGGCTGAGTTGAAGTAGCGTTCTGAGGGTCTTTCGACGAAAGACTTCTTCCGACCGAGCGTGTCTCCATGGGAAGCACCGGTCATGTTGTTTTGAGGCAAGATGCCTTACGCCATTACTTAAACGTGATGGTGCTCTGTTGGAGGATGTGAAATTCTCTTCAGGAAACTGAGTGTGTAACACTTGAAATTTGTGGCAAGGCCACGCGCGTTCTTGTATATGTGAGGCAGTGCATGTACAATTAGCTTGAGGGTTGAGTGGTCTCCATGACTCTAGGTTCTTATGTTGATTATTGATATGCTTCATAAGTAGTTGGCATGTTAACACCATGGGTAGTGTAAAGCATGACATATGTACGATAAATTGTGTTGATGTATCTATGTTATTTCACCGTTGATTGACTTTTGAGTTGCAGATTCCATGGAGATTGAAGTATACTATTTCATAGAGCTTCTGATTTATTATGTTATTGAAATTTAAAATTTTGCAGGTGTATGTGAACTAAGGTACGTTCCTATGTGAATGAGCATATTAACTAACATGCATTGGGTGAGATGAACATGATTATGATTTCGTACTGTGAAAGGAACATGAAATTATTTTGAAAATAATGATTTATAAAATTGTAAGTCTAGTCGAAATTAGAGTCATGGAATAGGACCAAACTCACTCAAGTTATTGTGTGGAATAGAGTATGTGGGGTCAAGTCGTCTCTGTTGAGAAAGTGACTGATGATCCCAGAGAATCGAATGACATTTTTGATGTCATTATGAAGTTTCGCGATCTGATTGTGACTTCCTTGTATGGGGGTGCACTTCTCGAGATGGAGACTGTGAGAGTCGGGAATGAGCTTTTTGAGAAAAACCAGGACGGTGTGTCTTGGAATGCGGAAGGGCATTGTTGTTGTGTGACCTTTTGTTCTGATGCCTGAAGATGAAGATTGAACACCAAAAGCCGTTGATAAGCTTCAACCTCTTGTTATACCGCAGTGGAAGTGGAAAAGTATTTTCATGGACTTCGTTGTGGGATTGCCGAAGACTCAGGCTGGCTGTGATTTTTTGGGTCTTTGAGGAAAGATTGTCTTAGTCTGCCCACTTTCTTCCAGTAAGGGTGAGTTTCCCTTCAGAGCAGTTGGCCAAACTGTTTGTTCGCAAGATCGTGAGGCTTCACGGGGTGCCAGGTGTATCATCAGTGATAAGGACCCGAAGTTCACATCTCGGTTCTGAGAGGCACTGCAGGGAACTTTTGGGACTCAGTTGCTACTGAGTACAGCCTATCATCCTCAGACTGTTGGACAGACTGAGCGGATCATCCTGATCTTGGAGGACATGTCGAGGGATTGCACTTTGGAGCAGGGCCCAGCATGTGATAGGTACCTGGCATTGGTTGAGTTTTTGTGCTTCTGTGTTTTCTTTGCTAGTCTGGGCAGGGAACCCTATGATGCGCAGTTTGGAAGGAGGTGTAGAACTCCTACCTGTTG